CTTAAACTATATTTTATTGAGTGCTATAATTAGTATAGTTTCGTTATATCATCTAATTTGGCTATAATTAATATACAAACCAATAAGTTTTTAAGCCAATAAGACTTTCCAATTAGTCTTATAGGTTTATTTTTGTATGTACGTACAATATACCTAACAGCAGATAAGGGTGGGCTTAGGATATCTCTACAGAACACTTGTTTATTAAATATATATATTATAAAAGGGCAGAAAGACAATTGCTAGATAAAACATCAAAGGCAATGAGCAGGACACACATAATCAGACGAAGTGTAAGATGCATGCATCAATACTAAACCAAACCTCACCATACGTATGGAGGTAGGATTTGCATGATGCTTTTGATGACAACCCATGCAGCTACCACGCTTACGCATAGCCTTACTTTCGGTTACAATAGTCAAATTTGTCAGCAAAACAGTTGTCCCAATCAACAAAGTTTACAATAAAGCAACTTAATTGAGAATGGTAACTCATTGTAATTAAATAGAAATAGTTCGGAGCAAGTGTAGTTTAAAAAATGTTCTTAATGTACCTGTTGCCGCAATCGGAAATATGAATGTGGATTGGTTCACACAACTATTTATAAAGACCAAGATAAGAATAAGTCAGTTAATTCATCATCTAATTGCTACAGAAATTGAAATATTTACATGCATTCTAGCTAATAATTTCGTCCGGTAATAGTAATTGAAATAAAAAGAAAATTTGATACGCTACGCTTAAATAATATTTAAAGCATGATAAGTTAAACACCAAAAATAAATTTAGATATACCACAATCGGAACAACAGATTTAGTTGAGGAATTTTCACCGGCACAATGGCAACGAAATGTTGATTGAAATTGTTATATTCAATATGTTTAAAACAATTCGTTGCGGTTAGAGAAATTGCTGCATACCAAAATCTGCAAAGAAATCAAGAATAAGTAGATTTTTTAGGATAACTATAGACAGATTAACCTTCGCTTTTAATATGTCTTCGGTCCAGTCCTCCTTAGCAATGCTTTCAATGGCTCTAATTAATACTCGTTGAACCTTATCGACATGCTTTTTGTACGTATATATTATCTCGTGAGTTGTTGCAATTGGCTGATTCGTGCACCAACACTCTTTGTTGGTCACAAAACTGAGGGACGCGTATAGAATACCGGCTTCCTTGGCTAATGCGGCTTCTGGACAGAGGGTCATGCTCAAGATATCTGCTCCCATGTTACGGTACAGGTTGTTTTCCGTAACCGTCGAATAACGTGGCCCTTCCAGGGTCAGCACCGTTCCTTTCGAATGTACGGGGTATCGCAGTCCGCTGGCTGCGTTAATTATGTGGAAACGTGTCCGTTCACAAAATGCAGGAGACATGGGCAGATGGCAAACGCCAAATGGGCTGCCAACAGCTCCATCATAGAATGTTTGACTACGTTTTGTTGTGCTATCAATGAAATCGTGTGGCACGACAATGTCGCCACACTGAATATGCTCCCGCAACGAGCTGACGGTGTGTGTTACCAGGATATGTGTGCATCCCAATTTACGCATTGCCCAAATATTAGCTCTGTAATTAATATTAGTTGGCATTATATCATGAAGACGTCCATTTCGCGATAGCAGCGCACAGTTGCAGTTTTCAATTTTCCCTTCAATGATAATATCGGAAGGTTTTCCGAATGGTGTGCAGACAGCACATTCCTGCCTATCCTTTAGCACAATTGGTGTATCGAGCCCAGACTCTCCAATAATCCCTATTTTAATATCCTCTTTTTCTGCAGCAGGTAATTCGGTAGCAGGTTTCTCAGCTTTTTTCCCCTCTTTAGATTTCACCTTTTCGTCACCTTCTTCCATGGTAATTTTGTTTTAATTTTGAAGTTTCCCAAACTAGTTTTTATTTTTATTTAAATAAAATATAAACAATACATACTATTAATTTTGACTCATGACTGACTTCATACGCTCAGCTGTCGGATTATTTTTTTTTTATTAATATTGCATATTTTCATATATAAGGGTTTAAAAGTTAAAATTTGTACGGCCAGTGTTAAATAAATAAAGATTAATCACAAGATTTAATGTTCTTTACTAAAGCTTTTGCGGTATGCTGGACTATAGTGGATTCATAACCCTAATATAAAAAAAAAACAACAACTAATATAATAAATTAGACGACCTAAATAATATGCAGACATTTTACGTTATAAAATACGTCTTTTCAGATACAAAGAAAAAACATGGGAATCCCAGTTCTTACAATTCTAAGCGCGACGATAACCATTTAAATGCTTGGAATTCCAGAAAACTTTTTACCGAAAGTTCTGCGCCTTCTGTTCGGGTATGTATTATCGTTCAAGCCCTCTACGATTAGTTTTCAAATTTGTCCTTTTATTTCGATTACTAGTAATCAGTATACAAATCAATTCACAACTATCAGCTATCGTTGAGAACTGGATAACTTTAAGTTTATTTATTATAATTAAAAACTTATGCTGATAGGTTGTCCAAATACCAAGTGGAAGTAGAATCTAATACTTTTTATTGATTATGTTACTAATTTAAAACTCTACATTAGCTTTGCACAAACAACTTTTCATACGTTGAGATAATTTAATATAATGCGCAGCAAAAATAAGTATATTAAAACTCTGAAACTAAGAAATTTGTCTTGAGCCAGTTTAATTCAGAATTGATGTCTAAATAATAGGAAGCTGACCATTCTTAACGACAGTAAATAAAGCATTGAAGTCTTAAGTTACGTTAAGCTCCCATCAACTTTGGTTCAAATCATCGAAGACTTAAGAAATTGAATAGCTCTTATACAATATTAAATATTTTGTAATGTTTGTTGGTATCTTAAATTCAATGCACTAAGGACAATTTAATTTTCTGTATCTAGATAAATCAAAACAACAATGGGCAATCATCAAAATTGGACAATCGCACAAGCGAATCTGTGGATGAAGTTAAGATACATGCAGTAAGTGCTGCGCCAAAAAAGACAACATGGGCATCAATAGCTTCGCAGCCAGCAAAACCATTATCTAAAGTATGTTCAGAGTATATTATAATAATGAAAAGGAAAGTAACACAAATGTAATTTTTTCATATTATTCGCACGCAGACCATATATACTGCTTCCAGCCATAAAAAGAAGGGCCCGGGCATGCCACCACCCCCAATGGTACCAGGGAAACATAATTTAGATGTCAATGTATGGGAATTGCCAAACAGTAATCCACCGCCAGTACCATCCCCGCCTTTACCAATTGATTTGTCCAGTTCGGAGCATAATTTTTCTGTAACGACTAGCGAAGAACCAACTCCAGGTCAACGTCCTGAAAAGGACGAATGCCACAGGTTGCCCAGCAATAGTAATTTTGGGAACGTTAAACCTTCCCCTAATGGTCAACACCGCAAAAACTGGGCTGCGCAGCAGCAGCAGCATCAGCAACAGCCAGCTCATCATCAAGAATCGCGACAAGCTAGCAGCTCATCCGTGCAAATTAATCGGCGAATAGCCCCAGTCGCATCGCAGAATAGATATAACGATCGTAAAGGAAATTTTTCTCGTAATGATTTTGACAAAAACCTAAAGTATGAAAATCGGGATGAAAATATTCCACTTGTTGCACAAAGTGCGTCTGTACCTACAGAGGTGACTGCTGACCCGCAAATATTATTGGACGAATTGAAAGACAAGAATAATTATAACCCTTCGGATATTGATTTAGATAAAGCAGCATCCGCACGGTAAATAACGGGACTGTATTTTTTTATGAATAGTAATCTGCAATGAATTTTCTTTTATTTTTTTAGATTTTTCGTCATAAAGTCTTATTCTGAAGATGACATTCATCGCAGTATAAAATATGAGATCTGGTGCTCAACAGATCATGGTAATAAGCGCCTGGATGACGCGTTTAAGGAACGGCACAAAGAAGGCGGCAATATTTTGCTTTTCTTTTCGGTTAATGGCTCTGGCCACTTTTGTGGCATGGCACAAATGATGACTTCGGTGGATTATAACTCTACATCCAGCGTTTGGTCGCAAGACAAATGGAAAGGGAAGTTTAAAGTAAAATGGATATATGTGAAAGACGTGCCTAATGGAAAGCTTCGACATATTCGACTCGAAAACAATGACAATAAATCAGTGACGCATTCAAGAGATACGCAGGAGATACCAAATACAAAAGGCATTGAGGTGTTGCAAATTCTGCACTCTTATAGACATTCAACATCCATTTTTGATGATTTTTCCCATTACGAGAAGAAGCAGGAAGAGGAAGTTTCGTCGAAGCGACCAACGATTCATGTTGCGGATGCCAATAACCAAGCTCAAGTACCAATCAACCGACATTATATCCGTGATAACGAAGATAGAGAAAGGGAACGAGACGTGCGAGATGTGCGAGACAGTCGTAGCTTAACTAATAATATGACTCAAAAGAATTTTTTTACTGGTGGAAATAATTTCCGTGACCGGAATCCGATACATAAAAGTGGCAGCGGATCCGGAAACTATCACAGCAGCTATAGCGACTATCGACGGGGCTTCGATTGTCAGCGAACAATAAGCGGTGATTATGTATCAAAGGATAGGGAAAATGTGCAAAATGATAGAGAGAATCATTTTGGAGCGCGCCATGGGTCTAACAACAGAAGAGACGACCATCCACACAGCCATTCAATTAAACCCAGATTACATAAGAGGGATTTCAATGAACAAACGAAAAGTGACGTCCGATTTAGAACTGAACTGTCGACATCAAGGGATTTACCAAAAGTATGCAATAACTTGGAAGCATAAGTAAAATATAATAATCCATTTATTTTGCAGACAAATGAAAATGATAGAATGAGAAACACTGACTATTAAGGACTGAGCTGCGGAAAATAACATTTTCAATGATGTCTGACGGACGTTATATAGAATCCTCATGCCCGTGTGCACCTAAGATTCGCTGATTTCATGTTTAAGATTTTTTTAAAAATTGTGTGTACAAGCAGTAAATCAGAAAGTTAAAATTAAGCTGAAAATAAAGCCAACAACCGATAATTAGGTTTAACTACAATAATATGATAACATTTTTATGTAATTTATTATATTTATATAAATCGATTGACGCTTTCATTGAAACGGTTCATCAAATTTTATTGAATCGATTTGTACACAATTTAAAGTCAAGGGTTTACTTGATTCATTCCTTGTAGCTGCACTGCTAATATTTATAAAACTAATTTTCATCAATATAAAGTGTAAACTGAGTATGTGAAAAAATTAAAGTTACAATTTTCATTATACCCATTGTTGCCTCAATTTCAACAGCACTGATATCAATTTAATATAATAAAATGTACAATGAAATACTTAAATATTCTGATAATAAAATATTTCATAGCGAATTTCGAATAACACATTTGTGGAATAGCTTCCTATCAAACCGAGGCTTGATAGTTTGTCTCTAAAAGTAAAATGTTTGTTTTATATTTCGAATTGCAATATATCAATCAATTTAAGAATGTGCATACCTTACGCTGATCATGAGATCATGAAAAGTTGTTTGTTTACTTTTCTATTTTATTCATATACAATGAACGGACCAAACCCAACATAACGTTGATATCTAACGGTATAGGACCAGAACCAGCTGAAATTCTGTTGATGTTTAACTATTATACGTTCCACAGCAATATAGATATTACCCTGTAATAACAAGAGATTACTAGTAACCTCTAAAAATGAACAAGACCTGATAATAGGTGTCAAACATTCAGTTGACTTATCTCTATCTGCCAGTGATTGTAAATGTGAATGAACGCGTCTCAATCATATGGATGGATGGGATCGTATATCGTATAACTTTATGGCGGTTATATTTGAGAGACGCGTATTAAAATCATCCATTTATAATATTTCCATTAATAAGTGCAACAGTTGAGTTCATTAGCAACGATGATTTAGGCAAATCTTTGCGAGTCATGGTTTTTTTTAAAGCTACGTAACAAGCTCTTAAAATTAGCAAATGAAATTTTAATAAAATAAGATAAGTCTGTGCTGTGAGATATGTTGTATCATAGTCATGTAAATTGTGGAAACATTTTTTATTTATAATTTTTTTTTCATTTTTATAATCAACCTATTGTCATATCTGATTCTATAATTTCATAATTCCTACTCCATATCCTCTCTATGTATTTATTTATTTATTTTACCAACATGCTCTGTTGCTACTTTCACTGGAACGGGTTCATTTGCTTATGATACAGTTAAATAATTTTGAGAGAGATTTATATAAGTATATTAATGCAGTATAAAAGCTCTATATATATAAAAATATCTGTCAACCTTACAACCGAGGGTGGTCGACTGCCTAATATTCGCTTGCTATTAAATTGTAGTTAAACAAGTCCAGTACTTCCTATATATGTGTGTATAAGTCATGTATAAGTCTGTCGACAAGATCAACAATGAACAAGGTGCTAAATTTGATCTCTCCGTCATATTACGCTACAATACTTGTAGGATCAATTCGTAGAGGAACTTCTACATATGGATGAATATTCAATTATTATATCTAAACCTAATACTACCTAACAATGAAAATATTTTTGTGCGCAGCCTGTAATTCTTTATTAATTAATGTTACATTATATTTTAAATTCGCAGTCTTTGGGGACAGTAAAACGGACATTGCACAAAATCAATAAACACCCTTTAGTTCGAGAATAAAGTATAAAAGCTGAGCTATAAACTCTTCTTCCTTCCATCGAAATGGACGGCACTTTTATCTTTAATAACGTTTCTGAAAAGTTACCCATATAAATAATAATGCTCGTCTAACTGAAGTATACCAGATGCCTTTCTGAGTGTTCCGGCGTTTTTGAAAATTACGAAGAAAGCTTTTACGCTGCTTTTGGGGCTGTAAATGTGGAACACAAACACGTTACTAATGTTATTCCCATGTACGATTGTATATGCGGTGCGTCATTGGATTAAGAGAAGCGGCAAGGCAACGCAGATTTCTCATTAGTTTTTGCCAAACTGTCTCGGAGCTTTGAGTGTTGCTCGCAAAGTAGTTTATTTTGTTTTCGTAATTTCGCTGAATACTCAACTCTAAAATGGATGAGGAACAAATGTGGAAAGGGATCTTCAATAAATTACAAGAGAGTAATGTAAATCCACCTACAGAGCATCAGCATCAGTAAGTACAGTAAAATACAGATATTTCTGTATGTAATGTACCAAATTGTCGTTGTCGTATGAATCAGTCTATTCAAAATTGTATATGGTAGGTGCATGTTAATCAGACAACTAATTATAAACTATGTGTATATATAAATGGGAGTATATGTGTATAAATGTTAAAATTTATAATATAAGTAATGTTTCCATGTTGAATATATATGTGTACATATATCATATGATCTTGCGATAACAAAAAACGAGACTCAAGTTAGAGCACCAACATTATATACGATGACACATATAATCATAGACTCATGAGTACATATGTACATATACAAACATGTGCATATATACACATACATACATACATTAAAAATTTTATTTGTGTAGGCCGGGTTTTGTTTGGTGTATTTTTTTTTTGTGTATTTGTATTTGATGTGTTACTCTTAAATCACATTACAAAACACATTTTGGCAACGAAAAGCTTTCGCCCATAGCTATCGATATTATCTATAGTCTTCATCGGCTGTTTATCTGTATTATATTAAATTGTTGCTATGTTTTTAGTTAAGTTCGTGCAACTAAAGATGGCACAAGACATTAGATTGTCATTAAACATAGCTGTGTTGTTTTGCCTCTGAAATCGATTCTATCGGATTTTCCAATTAAATGTGTGCATGTACATGTGTACATATTGCCTTTGAAATCAAATCATAGTTGAAATGTGAATCTCGTCTAACAGTGCCAACTGAGTATATGTTTAATGAAGATAAGGGTCTCTTGATGAGATGAAATCTACGCTGCATACGCACTCAACCCACCTTAGATCACAATTAGATCACATTAATTTGCATTGTCTTCATACCCTAAAACCCATTGAAATAGTGCTGTTGGCAGGGTATAATGGTTATATTAAAATTCATGTAACAGGCGGTCTATTAAAGAGTATTAATATACAAGTGATCATTATGGCAAGTAAGATAAGACAGTTGAGAGCCTATCCATCATACATATTCAAAGGAAAACTAAATATTTCATATATTTTATTCAAGCTTTCGTTTTTAATAGTTTAAAGGCTATCTAATATCTAGTAGGGACAATAATTCAAATTTATAGTTTATGTTTTATTAAAAACTAAGCTTTCGTTTTTAATAGTTTAAAAGAATAGTTTAAAGGCTATCTAATAACTAGTAGGGACAATAATTAATATTTATAGTTTAAATGGCACCTTAGATAATAGCATTTACATTTTAAAATATATGGGAATATCGAACTTACTCCATTTCCTTTAAGATCGGCGCATTAGGTTTGATAGATTGATTTATTTCACTTTAAATCGGAGATAATACACATAAAAAACTGTCGTAAATGCTTCGGGATAGCACATTCAACCAATCCAATGCATTGGCTTCGCATGTGTGTGAGCTCATACATACAGTTTGTAAAGAAACATTTTACATGCATAAACAACTATTGATATACTATATGTACAATGTTATTTTATTTTTTATATAATATAATAAACTAAATTAACTTTAGTTATATTATGTGTACATCTGAATATATTGTTTTATGTATGTACATATGTATATATGTATATATATCATTGTTACTGTAATGTAGTGCATGTGTGTATGTTTGTTTGGGTGCATTTACAGTGCTTTCCTGTGTTTGAATTGGAGTAAGTAAGAAGTAAGTTGGAATATCATGGTGTGCAGGGTATTTTCCAGTCTGGCACTTGTCATTATGAGCACTCTTACCTAAGGGCAAAGATTGTAGTATCATAGGAAAGCGTTCGATCTGGTCAACTCCAAAAACTAAAGACTAATCTAATACTACATACATATGTATACATGTGATCACGAATATATGTATGTATGTATGTATGCATACCTCTTTGTATGTTTGTAAATATAACTGTGAATGTTATTTCGGATTTCGTGGTTAATACACATACATACATACTTGCATACGCACGTCGATGCATTCGTGTTATGATGCACTAATTTCTTTTAGTCATGTACATATGTATGTATGTATGTTTTTATGTACATATGTACGTGTGCACGTTTGTGCGTGCTCTGTATTGTTGTTGTTAAGGGTTGGCAGTAACATGGTTCACGAAAATGAGTATTTACTATGGTTGAGCTTGTGTATGTTAATTAGGTGCATGCATACATACACATGTACATACATATACGTATACATACATACATACGTCCGTATATGCAGGTATATCTTCAAAATCATGAACCATGAAGACATCACACACACAGGCGAAAGCAACAACTATAGTGCGGATGTAACTGGTGCATTTGTATTGGTCTGTTTTGGCCCTATCTTTCAAGCGGCTAACGTACAAAGCTCTTACTGCTCAAACAGTTCTAGCCAAAAGGTCGTGGTGAATGCGTTTGTTTTCGGTTGTTTGTGGTGTTAAATTCACGAATTTGCTAGAAAATGCAAAGATTGTTGTTATAAATATTGTAAAATAAATATAAAGTGAGAGCAAATGAAGCTTCTTGACCGCATTAACTTTATTAGACAACACTGTACTCAGTCTATATTGATATGTGGAGACAATAGGTAATATACAACTCGGCTATTAATCGATAGCAAATGATAGTGTAAATAAAGATACACAGCTCTTATAAATTGGAATTACGGCTAGTTGTAATCAAATATATGATAAATATATGTATGATTAAATATCCAACGAGTATTTGCAATAAAATAGTATATAATAATTACTAAGGCTAAATGAAGTATGTGCTCATTGATAGTCCGAAAACAGTTAACAGTACCGCTGGAAGCGGAGTTCCCCCACAAATACTTCGTACCCCGCCGTACCGAGCTACAGTTTTAAGAATTACTTAAATATTTACATATGTATATCATAACCATGTATTCATTTATAGTATAAATAAGAAAATATATAAATTTTATACAATTAGGGTAGGCGCTAACCTGATGACGCGCAGTATATATATATATACACATATATACTTATATATATATATATATACTCAAATATAAATATCTACATTATTGAATTACGTTGGTCTTTGAAATCTTATCTTCATACACTTTGAAGGGCATGGCAATAGTATCAATTGTCAAGGTTTATTCGCATCACATATATAACATTATATATTTATATGATTGGAATATACGCATCTACATAATAACTCGACTACGTAGTTATATTGACAGTTATATAGTGATTAATGTGTAAACCCCTAGCTGGAGCAAAGTGCTTCTCGAATACAAGAGCAAAGAGAGGCAGCCCTAGATTAGAATCGAGAAATCGTCGAGATTATCGTACAGATTATCGTGGTTTAAGTATTGATATGAATCGAGCAGCGTTTCGATATGATTGCACCATCGACTACACCGTGCATCGTTTAGGTTGCATTAGTCCAATGGACGTTGTTTGCCAGCATTGAGGCGCATAGAAGTTCGCGGTGAATCGACCGGTTTGTGCTGCCTTAGTGGTAAAGTGACATTGCCATTATATTCCTATCTATATTAATATTGTTTTGTATTATTGTATTGCGTTCATCAAAGCCTAAATTAGTTCAGCAAAGAGGTAACACGACATTCTTTGACAGTTAGGCGGTACGACTAGTCGCCGGGTCAACTGGTCTTAAATAAATAAATTAATAAGATCTTGAAATTAAATCTTATTAAAGAAAATCAAAAGCTGTGCTTATTTATAGACATTGATACATATATATACGAAAAAATCGTATATACCATATAACGAAAGTTTTGTTCTTAACTGACATTCATGAATCAATACTTATGATTATGGGATTAATAGTGCCATTTGTGACAATGTAAAACACATATTTATTACTGATTTGCTTAAAATACTATAAGTTAAAAATACTATAAGTTAGAAGAAAACAAATCAAGGCTAGACATTTTTTAGCTTTTGTCAAATGTGATGAAAATTCGTTTACATATTTTTAGATATAGGAGGTCAGTGCATAGAACATAAAATTAACACGAGAATTATTCTGTTTTCAAAATTAGAAAATCCTTTTGGCCTGTGATACTAAGAAGTATTTGCAGGAATAGCAATTGTTCGAATCTGTAAATATATAAGAATTGATTAATTGAGTGTTGTATTTATCAAAGAAAAAAGTTTGTTTGTTTCAATGAATAATAAAAATAATCTAAATGTTATTGACCTCTTTCCTATAGGCAGCCAGGCGACTCATTTCTTTTTTCTTGATGGATGTTATTAAAAGGTCAATTTAGGAAATGAGTCTTGTGCGTGTGCGTTTGTCATTTTAAAGCTTTTAGTGAGCTTGACATAATAGATTTTTTGGTTTGATATCAAAGGACGCCACATCAGATTTTAAAACACTGCAGGATACAAATTTTGACAAATTTATATATGTATGTACACACGTATTGTCATCAGTCTAAATACTTCTTTGACTAAGATAGGATTATTTTTGTTTTCCCTTCATATATATACTGAGCGATTGTCTACTGTTAGTAAGCATTTAAAGAAGATTACTCCAATGCCATCGAAAGGTTTCATTTAATTGGGATACTATGTGATTGATTAGCCTTAAGTGTATTAATAATCAGAGCATGTTTGATAAGGCAACTGAATTACTATACTGCTTTTAAGAGAAGTCATAGGGAGCGGTAAAAAAGGTATAAGAGTAAAAATTAGCGCCTTCTTGTATTTCTTCCAAGTATATTTCCTCTACTTAATTCCGTATTTCCTCTTTACGTACTTCTTTTAAGTATTTCCATTAGGTATTTCTGTATGTTTGATAAGG